ACTCACACACACTCACTCACTCACTCACTCACTCACTCCATCGGCACTTGAGCAGGAGATTATCAACGCGGCGAAGAAGATCAGCACGCCCGTGATTGAGGCGCCGCTGGAGGAGGCCGACAACGCCGCATATGCGCGACGCGTCAAGGGCAGGATCGAGACAATCACCCTCGAGGAGGTGCGCGACCATCACAGCAAGCGGCAGCACCGTGCTTGTGTGTGAATGTGTGTGTGTGTGTGTGAATGTGTGTGTGTGTGAATGTGTGTGTGTTTCAGTCAAGGCTTTGCTGTCTTGGCATTCATCATACCTCGCCGGTCTACCTGCTCCAACGTACAATCCCTTGCTCACGTTCATTACCTTCCTGCTGTTGCTTCCCCAAACAAAACACACACGCACATTACCACTACCACCACCACCACCACCACCACCACCACCACCACCACCACCACCACCACCACCACCACCGCCGCCGCCGCCGCCGTGGGCCGTGACGTGTGGCTGCTGCTGCAGGTTGCGGAGTATGTGCGCATATTCTGCAGTGACAACGAGTCGTACGTTGCGGTGAAGCTTGATCTTCAGCGCATCGCCAACCTGTTCCTGGAGATTGACGTGCAGGGCGTTGTGTTCCGCATCGTGTCTGACCGCAAGCTCAAGGTCAAGCCGAACGATGTCGATATCAAGAGTGCCAGCCTCTTCCACGTGTACCCGCGCCCAGACACGCGCAAACCGTCCAACCCCGTGCATCTGTTGCAAGCGCTGCAGCAGAAGCTCGGTACCGTCGTCGTGCAGGGGCTTGAAAACGTCAAGTGCGTTTGTTGGCTGCTTTGTGTGTTTGGTTGTTTTTCTTGTTCTATTGTGTGTGTTTTTTTTTTTGTGTGTGTGTGTCTGCTGATGTGTACTTGTGTGTGTGTGTGTGTGTGTGTGTGCTCTCTCCTTCTGCCTGACAATCACTCACACAATTATTTTCAACGTCACTTCCACTTCCCCCCACCCTTTCCTCTGCAGCCGCGCGATTGTGAACGACGAGGGCGGTGTGCACAAACTATTTATCGACGGAACCAACATGCGCGGCGTCATGTCAACGCTGGGTCAGTGCTCGCTGTGTGTGCGTGTGTGTGTGTGCGTGTGTGTGTGTGTGTGACACCGTGCTCAAGCACATGTTTGCAACGCCTGTTGCATTTCTCCTGTGCTTGCATCACCCTCCACACCGATACTCACACAAAAGCACACGCTCGTCCCCACTGGAATTCAGGTGTGCTTGGGGAGAAGGTCAAGTGCAACCACGTGATGGAGGTGGAGAAGACGCTTGGTATTGAGGCGGCACGACAGGTGATCATGGACCAGGTGCAGTATGTCATGTCAAACTACGGCATCAGCATCGATCCACGCCACACCATGCTCATGGGCGACCTCATGACCTTCAAGGTATGCGCAGTGGTCGCAGGGGTCGCAGTGGTGGTGGATGTGACTGCGATGATGATGGCGATGATGATGGAGTTGGTGGTTGTGGGGTGCGCCCGGTGTGCGCTGTGTGCCGCTGGTGCAACAAGAATGCGATATGCTGCTCTACTTCAACTTCCGGTGCTCATGTTTGGGTATGAAAATGTGCACGTGTGTGCGTGCGTGCGTGTGTGTGTCTGCGTGCGTGTCTGTGTGTGTGTGTGTGTCTGTGTGTGTGTGCGTGCGTGCGTGCGTGTGTGTGTCTGTGTGTTCGTTTTCGTTATCTCTTCATGCAGGGCGAAGTGCTTGGCATCACACGGTTTGGGATTGCAAAGATGAAGGACAGCGTGTTTATGCTCGCGTCCTTTGAGAAGACCATCGACCACTTGTTCGACGCTGCCATGCGTGGCACAACGGTATGTGCTCGTGTGTGTGTTGTGTGTGTTGTGTGTGTGTGTGTGTTGTGTGTGTTCTCTGTGTGTGTGTGTGTTCTGTGTGTGTGTGTGTGTGTTGTGTGTGTGTGTGTGTTTGTGTGTAGTGAGCGCTCGCATTATCTTCCCCGAATCGTTGTGATTCTTCGACGCATTGTCCCTCAACTGCGACCCCCTCTCTCTCTCTCTCTGTCTCCCCTGTGCCTTTCCTCTCCCGCCCTTCTTGCGGCGACACAGGACCCGATTGAGGGTGTGAGTGAATGTATCATTGTTGGAAAGCCGATGAAGGTTGGAACAGGCGCCTTCTCCCTTCTGCAGAGGTGAGACACTTCAATGGACACGGGGGACTTGCTTGAGTTGACTTGCTGCACGTATGTGTATGTGTGGTTTATTGGCTCTGATACACGTACATGTAGGCAGGCAGGCAGGGAGGCAGGTCGTGTGACACAGACAGACAGACACACACACACACACACATACACACACACAGACACACACACACAGACACACACAAACTGTTCATGGTATTCACGCTGTTTCCCTTCACCCTTCTCCTGATAAACCCCTGCAGCCCGCCACCAAACCAGCAGCCGCCAAAACGCCGCAAGCTGCTGTTTGACGTGGACGAATACCATCCCCACGTTAGGTCGCCAATGCTTTGAGCAGCTCTCCCCGCAGCTGTTTGCACCGAACCTCCGCCCTGTTGTGCATGGTGGCAGCGCTCGGTGCAGTGAGCAGTGGAATGTGGTGGTGTTGCATGTTGGCAGTGTGTGTTGCGTTTGCCAGGCATAAATGAAAACAAACCATCAGCGTGAATGTGTACGTAAGTGCATGCATGTGTACGTACGTCTGCATGCATCGCACAATCGTGTGTCTGCTGAATCCCATTGGGTTTTCAATCGCAGGCGTCTTGAGATGTGGCGCTGTGAGGGAAATCAAAGCAAAGACAATGGTGAAGGCTTGAAGCAACGTTTGTGGTTGCGCGGTTGCGTGGTTGTGTGTTTGTGTGCCATAGTCTGGCTGTGTTTGTTTGTGGCTTGTCTATGTTCAAGCGCGTGTGTCCTCTGCGTTGGAGTCACCTGGGCTGCACATGGAGCAAATACTGCCAGCGTCGTCGACCACAACCTGGATGGATGCACGAGAGACACGCAGGGGCATAGAAGCAGAGCCGAAAGCGCACCGGTGATGGTGGTGTGGAGATATATGAGCACAGCACCATGCAACCACCACCGCCGCTGCGAATCATCACGCACCACCACCACCACCACCACCACAACAACAACAACAACAACAACAACAACAACAACAACAACAACAACAACAACAACAACAACAACAACAACAACAACAACAACAACAACAACAACAACAACATCATCATCGATGGCAGTACCACCACGTTCACTCCCTCACCGTCATGGATGCTGAGCAAAGGTCCTCCTCCTCCAGGCAAGGGTCTGTCAACACGTCGTCCAGCACGGCGAATGTGCAGCTGGTCACTGTGCGCTTCAGGTTGAGGGCGTGGCCGGCGCTTCTGTCAATGGAAGGAAGACCTTCAAGGTCGCTCAGATCGGAAGGCAGCTCCACTTTGGGCAGTGTCACTGAAGCATCACAATGACAGTCATGTCAGCACAAGTAAGGCGTACTGTTGTTGTTGTTGTTGTTGTTGTTGTTGTTGTTGTTGTTGTTGTTGTTGTTGTTGTTGTTGTTGTTGTTGTTGTTGTTGCTGTTGTTGTTGTTGTTGTGTTGGGAGTATGGGCAATGGGACGGTGCATGCTTGGCTGGACATTGCTTCGTGTCAAAGGCGACACAGGCACAATGGCATGAGCCAACTCACCGCTCTGAAGTGCAGCCATGGCGGCGAGCACACACGCGTCGACAACGTTTCCATCGTAGTTTACGCATTGGATATCAAGATACAGTGCCCATGACAGCTGCAGAGCCGAGAGTGTTTCAGACAGACGGTCACATGTGAGGCGTATGCGTGTGTGTATGTGCGTACGTGTGCGTGCGTATGTGTGTGTGTGTATGTGTGTGTGCGTGTGCGTGTGCATTGAAGGCAACGGCTGCATGGTTTATACCTTCCCAGGAATGATACAGAGGTCGTGTTTGTCGAGCATTGTGTCTCTGTGGATGTGCAAATAACAAGAGCAGACATGTCGTCAGTCTGCTCACAAGTGTGGAGATGGCACACCCACACACACAAATACACACACACACATTGCAAAAAAAGCAAGCACAGCACGCGGTCAACGCACGAGCAGAAGATGTCTGTGATGAACTCTGACAGGCGCTGCGCCTCTGCTGGTGGGGGTCCCGGTGTGAACCGATCGGAGCACAGCGGCGGCAGCGTTACTGTTGGAACTGCAGCGGATGACATGCAGCGGGCAAATAGTATCAGCACAATGTGTGGTTGCATGCGTGTCTGGTCTGTTTTGTCAAAGTGCGCCTGTAGAGTGTCCACTTGTCTACTTGCATGTGTGCGTATTGTGTGCGTACGTGTGCGTACGTGTGTGTGCGTGTGTACTGTGCATGCTTGTGCGTGCGCATTGTGTATTGTGTGTGTGTGTGTGTGTGTGTGTGTGTGTGTGTGTGTGTGTGTGTGTGTGTGTGTGTGTGTCTTCATCACAATGTGTCCGTTCCTGTGAACGGCCACAGCTCGTAACAAGGCTCACCAATCCAGCCGACGTTGTCGTTGTCAAGTGGTGGATCAGCAAACTCCTGATGAAACAAAGAGCAGAGCGACAGACAGCATGAGCGACAGAAACAGGTGCGCCATGTGTACACATGCGTAACACGGACGTGGAATGTGCTTCCATGACACACGGTGCACGGCGTCAGCCACACTCACCAGTTTGATTCCGCATACAACGCTCGTCTTGCCTAATGAGAAGCGGTGTGCACAACGTGGGACCACAACAGAATGTTCCAAACACAGCAGATTAATATGGGAATGTGTGCAACGACGACAAGTCAGCAGTGCGCAGAGAGGGGAACGAGAGCTGTGCTGCACTCAAATGACACCCGCCCTTTTTCCTTGCATCCACCCACGCATGGGTGGTTTCAGACGAACCCAGTGTAACGAGGCAGGAACCATCGCTGCTGGTGATTGTTCCTGAACAGCATACGTGCAGATACCAAGCGCATCAGACGAGGGGGTGGTCGGTCATGACGTCATGTGCAGACGCTCAGCGTAGCAAGCACACACATATGTGCACATGCACATGCACATTGCACGCAAACGTATGTTTACACACACACACACACAAACACACTTGCATACATACACAAACACATACATATACATATGCACATGCACGCAAACGTACACGTGCACACAAACACACACGAACACACGCACGCACACACACGCACGCACACACACACACCATAGACACACACGTGTGCACACGTCCACGAGCACCGCACGTGGTGCCACACCTGGTGCAATTGCACACGGTCGCGGATCCTCGCGAGATCGGCCATCCGGCCTTACATTGTGTTCCTGTTCGCACCAGTAACGTGTGCATTCACAAGCAAGCGCGTGTATAAACGGGCCTGGCATCAGAAAGGATCGAGCATTGTGCGAAAGAGCGGCACCTCAGGGGACGAGCGTGCATGTGTGTGTGTGTGTGTGTGTGTGTGTATGTGTGTGCATGTGTGTGTGCGTATGTGTGCATGTGTGTGTGTGTGTCTGTCTGTCTGTGCACGTGTGTGTGTGTGCACGTGTGTGTGCGTGTGCATGTGTCCAACTTCCGCCCGTCCGTCACCTCACCAAGAATCGGCTGTAGAATTCACGAGGGTAGACCTTCCTGCACCGTGCCCATGTGTGAGGGTGATGACAGTTGGAGTGAGAAGAGGACTGGCTCAAGTGAGTGCCACGCCACGTCGGTTGCAGCACACAAACAAACACGGCACACAGGACACACACAGCCACGTGCTGTCGCACTTGAAGGTCTCTGCGGCGATCTCATCTGCCATGTTGTTGCACTGTCCGTGGTGATGAATTCTATGTGCATCATTACCATTTTTCGCATCCGCCTTTCCCGGGGTTTTTTCAAACCACACGCACGAGGAGGAACCCGTCGAACGAATATCATGCCTGTGTGGAGTGTGCCTGTGTGGGACTTCAAGATCCCAAACGAGGTGAGACCCTGAGACCTGCCTTTGCCTGCCTGCTAGACCTCCTTGAAAGAGGAGGCGGAAAGGCGGTTGAGGGGGAAGGGGATGGAGACACTGAACTGACAAGGGCGTCACTCCATGTGGCTTCTGACATGGTGAAGTGGTTGAACCATGTGCCTGCTCTCTGCTAGGCCTAGGCTGCTGGACAAACCCGCGCTTTTGTTTCACACAATGCTAATGTTACGCACACACACACTACGCACGCACGCACATGCACACAATACGCACACGTGCAACACGCACACACACACGCACACACACGCACATACAATGCGCAAACACATGCAACACACGCATACATCACGCAACAAGCGCAACTCGTCCTTTGAGAGCACGGAGGAGACGTACATGGCCGACACAGCCGAAGATGATGTTCCTGTGATCTACACAACCGTGCCGGCAGGCGAGGTGGGTGACGTTTGGACTTGTTGAATGCAACACACGGCGTGTGTGTGTGTGTGTGTGTGTGTACACTTGGAAAGTGGCATCTGCCCACAAATGCCGCCAACATGCGCCACAGCAAGATTACCTCTCCTTCTCACTTGTGGGCACCTGCTGTATATCTTGTTCAACCCACTTCTTCCCCCACCCCTCCGTTCAGGTTGGTGTTCTTGCGCGCGCATATCTGCAAGCAGCACAGAAAGAGTACAAGAAGCTCTTTGACGACAAGAAGCAAGACGGCGATTCACAATACCACACCTTCGCCGAGCAGATCCGGACAATTGCAACCAAGAATGGGATTGAAACCCTTCCACTTGAGTATGTCCGCAACCAATATGAGACAACGAGATACGTGGAAGACATGATGAAGCTGTCCTTCACTGAAGACATCCAGACCCTGCTGCAGGAAATTCACAGAGTGGTGGACACGGAAGAGACGCAGGTGACCTTCGACGAGGCGGAAAGCTTCCTTCGTCGTCTTGACGACATCGCACGCAAAGGACCGGCCGAGTGCAAAGAGTTGGGGCAGTTTCGACAAGGTGCGTTGACCTTGCCCTTGTTGCTCGGTGTGTCTCACATATGTGGCTGAGTGAACACATGCACCGTTGTTTCGTGTGCGTGCGTGCGTGTGTGTGTGTGTGCGTGTGTGTGTGTGTGTGTGTGTGTGTGTGTGTGTGTGTGTGTGTGTGTGTGTGTGTGTGTGTGCGTGTGTGCGTGTACATCAGTGCTGTTGCTGCGAGCACCGCTGTGCTTGAGCACTCCGTCTGGCGCATTGTTGGAACTCATTCTGGCTGTTCGTGTGGTTCATACAGATTTGCAGTCGAGCGTGGAGCCCCGCCACGCTGCCACGGAGAAGAAGAAGGACGTGGATGTCGCCCACAGAACAGTCTATGCGCAGCCATTCTCTGCCAAGCTTCTCTGCCCTGACTGGCATCTGCACAACGAATGGTTTCAAGTGTTTGAGCGCAGGGACGAAACGCCAGGTAGGGTCACTGTGGAGGATGCGCTTGCTTGCTATGTTCATGTGTACATGTGAGCGTGCTGTCCATGAGAGAACGTGGCATGTGTGTGTGCGTGCCTGCCTGCCTGCCTGCGTCTGCGTATTTGTGCGTATGTGTTTGCTTGCACAGCATATGTGTGTGCTCCTCCTAAGAAGCCTGAAGGACAGTATCTCTCTGTCTCTCACAACAACGCTGCCCTGTGTACGCCCACTGCACTGCAGACTTTTATTTTTCCGTTCCGTCACGGGAAAGGCGGTTCAACGACCGCATTTACGGGCCCCTGGTCGAGGCGTGTGCTGGAGCAGCGGTAGACGTCAAGAGCAAAGCGTCGTTTGAAGCTGACCCCGCTGTTCGTGTTGACTATGCTGTGCGTCTGGTCTCAAACTATGACTGCTACCCGCTGGTGATTGAGCTCAAGACCCGCAACGGCAAGCGGGCGCAGGATGCTGCCAAGGCGCAGGTGCTGGAGTACGCAGCAAAGGCCATCAAGTCCGCAGGCCCGGAGTGGCGTCGGTTGAACGGATACTTGTTCCCCTTCGCCATCACCGTCTGCGCGAATACAGTGTCCGTGTACGCGTGCACACTGGGTGAGGAGATGCACGGTGGCGAGGCCTTTCCCAGTGTCCTTTACACAAAACTTGGCGACATCCACGTGAGTTGCCACCACATGTGCGAACAGTGAAGGAGGGTGTTTGCATTGTGTGTTTGTATGTGCATTGTGTTTTTGTGTGTCTGTGTGTGTGTGTCTGTAAGTGTGTGTGGGTGTGAGTGTGTGTGGGTGTATGTGGCACACATGATCCAGCACGTGCATCTGTGCAGTTGCTGTCGACTGGCTGTTGCCTTGTCTACTGGTAATTCTCGTTGGACGCTGCGCTCACATTGCTACCTTGGTCGCGGGATTCAGTTGAACAGGCTTGGGCATGTCATTGAGTGGCTGCTCGACGAAGAGCACATGGCGCATTACGAGATGATTTCCGCCATTGCCCAGGTAGCCGTTGCATTCGTGATGTTGAGCCCTCCAGCTCTCTTGCCCTCTTGCTCTGTTACTGTCTTGGTTTGGTATTCTGCCATCAAGACACACCCCTCGTGCACCTTCTTTCTTGTGTTCAAACATCAACGATGCCACCCACCTCCGCAATCACACACACACACACACAGGGACGAGAGGACCCTTCTCCCTCAACCCCAGCACTTGCGCCTGAGACGACAGCCACAACTGACAGCGCCTCGGACCCGCCTGCTTGCCCAACCACCAGCACCACCAGCACCAGCGACAAGGAGGAGGAAGCCCAGGCAGAGTCCACGCCACAACAGCAGGCTGTCGACACGCAGTGCAGCGCAAAGACAGCCAAGGCCAAAACCAAAGTCAAAGTCAAAGCCAATGCCAAAGCCGAAGCCAAAGCCGAAGCCAAGGGCAAGGCCAAAGCCAAACCCGCACCGCAGCAGGGTCGGGGCCACCAGGCAAAGACACGCAGACCGGCAACTCGCGGCGCCTCCAGAGTGTCACAAACACGCAGCGGCGGGCCTGCTAGCGCGGTCGTGAAGAAAACCGACCACTCCGCACCAGCAACCACAAAGGAGCAGCGCCAGCGCCAGCAAGCGAAGACACGTCAAGCCGCAAGTCGCGCCGCTTCGAGCACGCCAGCAAGACCGGGTACCGGGCGTAGCCGCACAGTGAAGAAAACCCGCCCGACCACAGCCGCGACCGCACGGCGACGGCGTCAGCAACCCAAGGCAGGCAAAGCCACAACAACATCCACAACACCATCCAAAACACCATCCAAAACACCATCCACAACACCATCCACAACACCATCTCGTTCCGCCACCACAACAGCCCCAACAAGAACACCAAGCACCAAAGCAGACACCAAGACTGACACAGCAGGCAGCAGCAAGGCTGAGCAGCGTCAGCATGCAGTCACCAAAAGAGCCAGGGCCAGGTCTGCCAAAGTTGCCACGAGATACGAGATGTGCGTCTACAAAGGCGGCGAAGACACGGCAGCGGTTGCAATGGTGAACGGCAAGATGTTGAAGGTGTGTAGCGGCCAGGGCGTTTATCGTTCTCGGAAGGTCTACAGAACAGTGGAGGCTGCCAGGAAAGAGGTGGCTGCAATTAGGAGAATTAACTCTTACTATTCCGCGGAAACGGAATTGGAAGAGCTGGGTGTCAGGGAAGAGGAGGCTGACAGGGAGCTGCAGGCCTGGCAACTGCTCTATCCGGACGAAAAGGTGGAAGTGCTCGAGCGGTCACGCCGTTTCCTTGATTTGCGTCTTGTTCTTGCCTTTCCCCATCTAGCGCCGACCGAAAGAGGCACGGGCATCAAGGACAAGGAGGCGCTTACAACCGCTGCTGGATACCTCCTTATTTTGTCGAAGAACAATCTCTGTCACTGCGACATCCGCTCGCACAACATCCTGCCCAACGGCTGCATCGTGGACTTTGGTCTCATGTGCAAACCCGGCAAGATGCTTCACTCGTCTTATTTCACGCGGCTTCGGGAGCGCCCTCGCCGTGTGCTGCATGCCAACCCAAGGGGATACATTCGTGCGAAGGTTGCTTCGGATTGGGAGTCGCTGCTGCTTTCCTACGTGTTCTCGCCCGGTACTGTCCGATCTGCCATGCTCCGGTTGCTTGAGGGCAAGGCGATCCTGCTGCAGTGGCTGGCAGACAAGCGGGCTGAGCTCTTGGACAACGACGACGACAAGGAGACAGCAGAGCTGCTGCACGAGATTATGCAGCACATTGCCCGCGTGTACTTTTGAGCTTGACGTGCGGCTTGCATGATATGCTCAGTGGCACTTTGGACGTGTTTGTGTGTGTGTGTGTGTGTGAGTGTGCTGTGTTGTGTGTTATGTATTGGGGTGTGTGTGTTGTGTATTGCTCGAGACATGTTGATCATGGTTTATTGCCATCTATGGTTGCTTCCTTCTGCATCGCGTGACCAAGTACACAATTCGAAGTCAATTACGCACCAACTGATACCACAACGCATACCCCAACACACACAGACACAGACAGACAGACACACACACACACACAGATACAGATACAGACGCAGACACACTACAAAGGAGCACACATAGAGACGTGTGCGAGTGTCTGTGTTTTGTGTGTATTTTCTGCTTTGGAGACGAAAGAGGTCGTGTAGTCGTGGGTTGAACATCAACAGCGTGCATCCTTCAAGGATCACAAGAGGCAAGAAATGAACAAGTGCAAAGCCACCACAAATAGAAACGAGGGTCAATGACAACAGCCAGAAAGAAGTGTGAGGTCCAGAAGCCAGGGACAACAGTGAAGGAACGAGGCGCACACGCTCAAGGATCAGCGTGCGACTGTGTAACAGGTGCCCCAAGAACAGGTGTGACGACCCATGATAACGCCAAGGAAACAACTTTCACAACGAAGGGTTTACCATTCACAGGAAGAAAAAACCCTCGTGCGTTCAACAGCGCTTGTGCACGAACATGCAACAGTTGCAGACATGCATGTGTTAGACGAAGAGGCTGAAAGTCTTTGCGATTCGATCGGCTTCGTCCGAATACATGAGCAGCTCGAGTTCCCGTCTATACGATAGAGATCATGAACATGGCGGCATGAGGCTGGAACAAGAACGCGCGACCCAACAACTGCCAGACTTGACACAACGGCAGGCACGCGTGCATGCACACATGCAACACAGACGAGCAAGATCAAAACAAGACAAGTGCACACACACACACAAACACACACACGCAAAGTGCGCTTACCCGTCAACACCGTCCACGAGTAAGCTCACGTACGCCTCGTCTCGCACAAGCCTGACAGTGATGCAGTTTGACCATCACAACGCATCTGCGTGAGATACAGCTTTCACACATGCACATACACAAACAGGGGCCAATCACACGGGGGCGATTATGTGCGTATTATCTGACCTGGCGATGCTGTGCCAGGGCCACGCGTGCTGGCGTCGTGTTGACATGTGCTGGATGCGCACGTCGTTCTCAGAGAGCACAAGGCGGCATGGACCCTGCAGCCCTGTTGCAGCAGTGATACACACACACACACGCACACACACACACACACACGCACACGGAACAGTATGCGGTGAGGTCAGCATGCAACATGTATGCGTGTGTATGCGTGTGTGCGTGTATGTGTGCATGAGCGTGGCACCATCACTGGTGCGTGCACAGCATTGACGAACCAAATGTGTATGCTGCCGTGGACGGATGACAAACGACGTCAAAGGAGACTGGATCAGCATGCGCGGGAGACAGCTGAAAACCTGTTTCTCGAACGAGTCCACCATACAAGTCGCCTCCATACACCTACACACGCGACACGTGCACGTGCATGTGTGTGTGTTGATGAGCATTCACGCTTCCATGAAAACGGCGACGCCAACCGCAACAAAACCAACCCAAACAACAACGTAAACAATAACAACTTCAAACAACAATACCGAAGCTGCATCGGCGGTAGGACTGTTGCTCTCGGTGGAATAAACATCCGTCTCGGACGATGATGCAAACCGATCGGCCGTGAACGACTGTGACGCCATCCGGGAGCGGGCATATGCACCCTGCAGCGTGCGGTTGATGGCAGCCAAGTCCTCCATCTGAACGGGACAGTTTCGTTGGGGGAGGGACGTGTTGGATGTGGCAAAAGGCATTGATGAGAATGCGTGTGTGCTTGCGTTTAAGTTGGCACTGTGATGCAAATGATGAACATTGCATGGCTGTTCCAATGTGCAAAAAGCTGCACGCTTCTTGTGCAATTACACGCGCATAAGCCACATGCACAGAGAGAGAAAGAGAGAGAGAGAGAGAGAGAGAGAGAGAGAGAGAGAGAGAGAGAGAGAGAGAGAGAGAGAGAGAGATACACACACATACACAGAGGCACACACACACACACACACACACACACAAACACACAGACACACACCTGCTCCAGGGCTGCTGTTCGCTGTTGCTGGCGAATCTTTGACACGCTCTCCAGCACGTCGTCCTGTGTGTTCATGTACAACGGTTGCAATGAGCACTACACGTGGTGACATCACACATGCCATGTTTCAGCACTCGCTTGCACGCAAGCTTAAAGAACATCACGCAAGCTGTCTTCGCACCAATTTGAGCAGTTGCTTCGGTTGCTCCTGCAGATTTGTGTGCATCGACAACAACTTGCGAAGCCGCGAAACCTGCAGCAAGTGCATGTGTGTGTGTGTGTGTTGTGAGCAAATGCACACCGCCAAGTCCGAACACAATGGCGTTGTGTGATTCAGCGATGAATGTGGCCTCCCACCCACTATTCCCTTGCCATCGCAGACCAGATGTGTACACGAACCCGCATACACGACCAGCGCACCTCTCCCATGAGATCCGTCTGCACGCGTTTGAGAGCAGTCACCACATCCTGCAGCCGCAGGTTGTCTTCCCTCAGCTTCAGCATCTCTTCCGTCAACTTGGTATCACCACCAATGCCAGTGCCATGTCCACCACGGCCATCGTTGTCGTCAGCGCGCACCATCCCCCCGCCTCTCAGTGGCGTGTCAACAGCGCTTCGCTCGCGCACATCTGCTGTGCTCTTTCCTGCTACTAATGAGATCCGCCCACGTCTCCCCTTTCTCCCCTGATCATACACAGGCTCGCCCACGGAACCATGTTGTTGTTGCTGTTGCTGTTGTCTTGCCGGCCATCGCGGATTGGGTGTACGCTGTATCTGCTCGTGTTCTCGTGCTTCCTGTTGGTGGTGATGCCGTTGCTGCTGTTGCTGGTCGCCCCACCGGCTGCTCTGCCGCCGCAACCGCTCCAGCTCCCGCGTTTGCGCGCGCTGGTCCGCTTCCAGTGCTTGGATGTGCTGCGCTTGCTTCGTTTGCTCAAACTCCGCATTCCTCAGCTGCGCGCGCACACACGCACACACACACACAAGATAAAATCACACAAGGGTAGTGTACGTGCGTGATGAGAAAAGAAAAGCCTTGAATGGGTAGCTCGCATGAAACTCTGGTGGTGCATCACGGGCAAAGTAGGCTCACGCATGAACGTGCAGACGAAGCACGGAGCATCTTCGCCCGCCCTCACCTTTGCGTGCAGTTGCTCAACACACGAGCTAAGCTTGTGCTTGTCTGCTGTTGCTGTCTTCAGCTCTGCTCGCATGCACAGTCACAGACACAGCATACAACGAGAGCACGTCAACTTCGAAGGCCTGAATACACACCCATTCGTAAACAGCACCCACACTCACAACCACTCACAACCACACACAACCACGAAAGCGGGCAGGCGCACCTTGTTGCAGAGTGGCGATTTGCGTTCCCGCGTCCTCACGAGCTCTCAAGCGAGCGCGCAAGGACTGGACCTCAAGCTGATGGTGATGGTGTTGGTGTGTGTTTCGGGGGGGGGGGGAGTGCAGACACGCATGAGGAATTGATTGGCAAACTTGTTGGTAGGCTGGTGGTTGATGGACATGACAGTGCATGGCTCGAAGCAATACAATGGGCAGAGCAACGCGCATCGCGTACAATTGGTGCGCGTGCACACGATTCACGCGCATAAGGAACCCCCCCCCATCAAGCATGAGCTATGGAGCAGTGCCGGCCACATCAGTATCAATGCACGGTGTGTGCCCAAGCCATTCACACATACACACACACACACATACTTGTACACACGCGCGCACCTTGATGGTGGACGCTGAGGCATCTGCTTGTTTCAGCTGTTTTTCGGTCTGTGCAAGCTGCTCCCGCAACATCTTCACTCGCAGTTCCATGTCCCTCTGTCGTGCCTGTGAAGCAAACGTGGGTTTCGCGGGCGAGCAGCAATCGTCAGTGTGCACGGAGGTGTGTGGCTGTAAGCGTGGTTGGTTGCGAGTGTGCTCAGCACGTGCATGCGAACTCATGCTTGAGTCAGGGTCGCCCATGAACACACACACACACACACACACACACACACACACACACACACACACACACACACACACACACAAACACACACACATACTCAGACACTCGTACGCGCGCACACACACACACACTCGCACGCGCACATACTCAGACACACGCTTGGGCTCATAAACGCGCACGCAGTCCACACACATGCAATTTCTCACGTACCGTGGCCTCCTTGGCTTGTGTCTTGAGCTGTTCCCGCAGCTCCTCATTCTTGCGTGACAAACGCACATTCACTTCGTCTTGCGTGGCCTCTGCCTCCACCGCATGCCTCTTCTCCATCTCAACCATTTGCGCTCGCAGTTTGGCCACAGTCGCCTCCAATTCCTTCTGTTTCTCCTAATGTGCGCATGCATGTGAGTGTGTGTGTGTGTGAGTGTGTGAGTGTGTGTGTAGTGTGTGTGTGTGTGTGTGTGTGTGTGTGTGTGTGTGAGTGCGTGTGTGGATGTGTGTGAATGTTTGTGGTGTTTGACAGCAGAGGGGAATGGGGACCGTGCCAACGCATCTGACTCCATGTGTGTGTGTGTGTGTGTCTCAGTGGGGGCAACGTGACAACATCCCGCGGGCTGCACCTGAGCGGTGGCCTCGTGTTCCAGCAGCCTCTGCTTCAGGTCTGTGTTCTCCTTCTTGAGGTTGCTGTTCTCGGTTCGCATCGCCTCAACCTGTAGCTCAATCCCAAGCGCCATTGCGTAGTTCATGCCTTTGCACACACACACACACACACACACAAAATGTAACAGGGATACAAGTTAGCAAGACATGTGAATGATAGTGCGCGAGCATCTACCAATTACACACATCGGCACACGCGCACACACGCTCGTGCACTCTCAAACACGACACGTGTGTGTGTGTGTGTGTGTGTGTGTGTGTGTGTGAATGCGATACCTGAGATGTCGAGACTAGTGCGACTTGGCCGTGCCTGCAAAGTTACACACGTGAACGATGGTGAATCAATGCGTGGACAGTTGACAGAGTGGCGCATGCAATCCAACAGGCACTCACAGTCTCACGTCCACGTACACCCTCAAACACACACACATACACACACACACGCACGCACGCACGCAAACACACGCACGCAAACACACTCTCTTTCTCGCGCCCTCACACACAGCTCGGCATCACCGCCTCCTCACCTTGAGGTCTTTGAGCTCTGCGGTGACGCGATTGAGGTCTGCGGTCAGTGAGGAGAGCTGCGTCTCCGCCAATGTGTTCTTGTGCTCTGCACGCTGAAGCGCTGATGGACAAAGGCGCAGTGTTGATCCGCACACACACATGCGCGCGTGTACACCCACGTACATGTATGAACAAAGGCCAATCCTTGTGTGAACACAGGCAACCCCTTTTTCACACACACACACACACACACACACACACACACACACACACCAGCGCAATAGCATCAGGCGCGCACCTTCAGATGCGGCGAGGAGCTGGTCCTGCAAATCAGTGGAACGCGACTTTTCCTCCACCAACTCGTCGCTCAGCTGTGCAAGTTGCTGTCATACCATGGCGGGCACGTGAGATGGTTGAAAGGAGTCAAATGTGTGGATGCGTTCGTGTTTGTAGTGTTGCTTGTTAATGTGCATTTGCCTGCACATGTGTTGATGTTGTGTCCTTCTGTGTCGGTGTTTGTGTGGTGGCTTGCTCGTGGGTGTTGTACCTCCGTGAGCGTGGCGATTTCGTCGCGGAGTGCATCCAGCTCCGATGTCTGCGATACAACACCAATCTGCACATACACACACACACACACACACACACCACACGCGCATTCACAGAGAGCACGTGTTCGGATTGTGAGCGGACACACACACACACACACACACACACAGACACAGACACACACACACACACAGACACAGACACACACACACACACAGACACAGACACAGACACACACACACACGAGATAAGAGGAAGGAGGGCGGGGAGAGAGCCAGTGCAAACTGACGCTCTCCGCAGAGTCGCGGCGGTCGAAACTGCAGACGCTCATGTCGTTCTCGCCGTCATCCGGGGCGAGCTGGTCAGCAAGATTCTGATGGATGGATGGATGGATGATGTGATTTGATTATTACTTGCGGGGCAAAACGGACACTGGAAACCTCCACACACACACACACATACACACATACACACATACACACACACACACACACACAACCACCTACTTGATGGCTGCGGGCGCGCACAAGCTCTGTCTTGAGGAACATGTTTTGCCGCTGCAAGTTGTTCATCTCTGTGTCGGCCTCATCGAGCACATCCGTGTTTTGCTGCTCGAGGTCGAGCAGCTCCTGCCGCAGGGAATCAACCTGTGACACACGCACGCGCGTGGTGGCGGCGGCAGTGTACATGTGTTTGTGTGTGATGTGATGCATGTGGTGAACACGACGACAGTCATGGTCATAGTTCCGTGTGTCACCCAAGACGCCGACCCCTCACGCTCATGGTTCGCACGCACGCACACACACACACACACACACACACACACACACACACACACACACACACACACACACACACACACACACACACGCGCGCGCGCGCGCGCACGCATACATATTCACACGCATTCACACGTCACTCACCTGCTTTGTCAGCTTTGCCTTCTCTGCTGCGTGTGTCTCCTTGAGGGACTCCACCTCTTCCTCAAGATCGAGATTGTGTTCGTGCAGCGCAAGTGCATCCGCCATCAGCAGGCTGTGCTGCTCTCAAGCAAACATGGGCCGCGGTGGTGGAGCGTTGCGTTGCAAGACGGCAAAGATATGGGCGCGAGTCAAGCATGCACGGTAGAGCGGGCAGTAATTTGAAGAGGAAAAGAGGACGCAGCAAGTGAGCGGGCAGGGCAAGACAGAGGGGCACGAACAGGCAGTAACGAGAGGCAGATGCCGTGTGTGTATGTGTGTGTGTGTGTGTGTCGCGCACGCTCATGAACATCAGACAAATGAGAACAATACGCACGTGGAATTTGCTCGGCTGTCCGTCATCGCGCACACACACATCCAGCGCTTCACAAAAGTCTTCCATGGTGAGGTGGCCGGCGGATCTGCAGTGTCGGGAGCGATGGCGCGAAGCATGAGATGACGGTTGCGTGTTGCGCCGCACACACACACATACACACACACGCATACACACACACACACACACAGCACACAGGGCAAGGCGTGTGTATACACAGTCGCACCTCCTGTCTAGGAATGACATGACGCGGTATGCGTGTTCCTCTGACACTTCACGTGGCGATGCACCTGCACACAGACAAAGAAGTGGCAATGAGTTGATGTAGCTGTGCACACTGCACATACGTGCCACCACACACACACACACACACACACACACACACACACACACACACACACACACACACACACACACACACACACACACACACACACACACACACACACACACACACACACACACAAAGCAGGGAGGGCACGCACCGAAAAACGTGCTGATCGGAGTGGCACACATGAGCTTCGAGATGATCACGCGAAGCCCGTCCGCATACACGCGCTTGCCATCCTTGGTGGAGACCTGGCCAAAATGTACGCAGCAGCAACGCAGGTAAGCACGGTCGTAGGCACCAGCCAAAGTTGCATGTGAAGCCAAGCGCGCGCAATATGTGTGTGTGTGTGTGTGTGTGTGCACGTACGCTGTTGAAGAGCGCGCGGAGGGCATCATCCTTGCGCCTGTGACGGCAAAGGCACGAAGGTGGCACGACATGATGAGGGTATGCAGCGTGGATAGCGTGGATAGCGTGGACAGAGTGGGTGTTAAGGGGCAGGGCAAGCAGCGATTTGGCCAAGTGCACAAGAGAGGAGGGAGAGGGGGGGGGGGTTCGTTGGCAGCGTACTGTGATTTCTGCTTCGATGGTGCAGCTGGGTGACTGCCATCAGCCTTGAGCCTGCAGCAAGATCGTAAATGACGACGCAAGACGAGGCACAGCATCACAGTGCATGAACGCAACGCAAGTCCGAATGTTGTGCACCAGCTATGCATGTCATCGTGCAAGCATGTGTCTCCTTGCACGCGCACACACATCCACCCTGCACACAGCACCTGCGAGGCTCAAAGGTTTCCGGGAGGTGAACGTTGTGCTGTGGTTCGCCCTCTGACACATACACTTCCAGGTCCGCCCGCTTTGTACTGCACCATCCGCATCATGACAGATAAATGTGCGTGAGACACGAGCATGGGCCAGTGCTACCAATCGAACCAGCCAGCGCGTCAAACCAGTTGACGTCTCATCCAATTGCCAAAAGCACGCCTCAGCGCCATCCAGACCAGGCAGTCCTACCAACCTTGAATGGCGCGACATGACTGGGTGGACAACAACGGTTCCGCGCCTTCACCTCCACCCGGCACGGACAACAAACGGCAACTGGCTCAACGGCGATGAGAGGCCAAGTCAAGAGAGGGCAGATGGGGACGTGTTGGGACGTGGGGGGAGGGGAGCAGCCCTGACACAGGAGAGAGAGGGACAAGGGACACAGCACGTCCTGCCTGTGTGTCAGTCGTGTTGTTTTGTTCTTCGTGTGTGTGTTCGTGCCTGGTACTGAATGGCACCATCACTCGCTTGGAAAAACTCACATCAAACAAACAAGAGCGAGCGAGCAAGAAGCAAGTTTTGCTTGTGTGATGATGATGTGATGTTGGGTGTTCATCAAACACCTCTCGTGCGCTTGCCCACACTGCACCCGCACTACTTCTTGTCTGGCAATGTGTTTCCTCCTCCATTGTCGGTGCAACCATCATGGCTCGTGGGGTCGTTGGTATCAGGTGTAATGTAATGTAACAGAGAATAAAAGACAAAAGAAAACACAATTATGAATTGCATTTGCTTGTGCGGTGTGGTGAAGACGGCTGACAACAAGGCAATGTGTGATGTCTGCACGACCCGTGGCAACGGCAGAACGGTCGCAGAACGGCAAGAACGCAGGCAAGATCCAAAACGACCCGCACAAATGGTGCATGTGCGACGCGTGGAAGGAAACGCGGAATGAAACGTGCGCCACGGTGAACAGACACAGTCACAGACACAGACACACACACAGACACACACACACACACACACAACCTAGGTTGGCAGTGCCGTGCTGGAGGACTCAAACGAGGAAGCCGGGCGGGAAGAGCTTCTGCTCCACCGCCTCTTCCACAATCCTGCGCAGCTCCTGGTGCCATGTGGCAGTTTGGGAAGGCGGAAGTGGGGGCGAAATGCAAAACGCATCACAACAACAACGACAACAACAACATTGGTGAGTGGATGATGCACACAAAAGAGTAGCAAGCGCAGCAGGCGAAAGACAAACAAACAAAAACATTTCCACGGACAATCACCACCGCCACCATGATCACCAACCAACCAACAACATTGGCAACTGCTGTTGTCAACTTTATCAAGATGAACATGCCTCAAACCTCCACGCAACACGGACATACACATGGACATGCTCGACCAGGCAAGGCACGTGCAGCACAGCTACCACAGACAGCTACCACAGACAGCAACACGGCAGTGCACATACCTCCAGCGTGGGCTGTTGCCACTTGTACTCAAAGCCAAGCGACTCGACTTTCGAGCCATCCACAGCAAGGCTGTTGTTGTACAGCAGCTCCTGCACACCACGACAAACGGTGGGGGAACACGAAATGGAGAGTGAGGGGAGGGGGGCGGGCACGGCCGAGCGTTCAGACACACACACACACACACACACACACACACTCGCACGATTACACATCACGAGTTTTACACACACACACACACATGCACGCACACACATCTCTCTCATGGGCATGCACGAACCTTGTCGAGGTAGGGGCTGAGCGGGGTGTTTGTGATGCCGGCATCGCGACACATGTCGGACCATGGCTGCATGTGCTTTTCGTTGGACTCCTCAACAGCGGCCGTCATGTTGAGGCGAGCAACGTTGGAGAGCATGCTGCCAAAGAACCCGGTCTTGATGCCAAACAGCTGCGACAGCTGCTCGTTCAGCGACCCTTGCGCTGTTGTCGGCAATGATGGTGGCGATGGTGATGATGGTGGTGATGGTGGAGGTGGTTGTTACGGAAGTGTGTGACATCAGAGCCTTCACTGCTTGACACATGAGAGTGCTTACTCCTACCCTCCCCCCCCACACAAACACAAACGCGCGCACAACTGCCCAGCACTCACTGGTGTCGGCCTTGTCTGCAATGTTGTAGACCTCGCCCTTTGCGCCCTTTGTGGCGATGGTCCACAGGGCGGCAGCGACGTCCTCCACGTGCACCGTGTTGATGCGCAGCTTCTCTGTCCACAGCAGCTGCAGCCACAAGTCGTCACGGTCGCCAAATGCACCACGTCAGTGCGTGCGTGTGTGTGTGTGCGTGTGCGTGTGAGTGTGAGCGTGTGAGCGTGTGTGTGTGTGTGTGTGTGTGTGTGTGTGTGAGTGTGTGTGTGTGTATGTGTGTGTGTGTGTGCTTGAGCGTGTGTATTTGGGCATGCATGTGTGTGTTTGCGTTGCTTGCGGGCAATGCCACACGCAGGCATGTGAATGCAAGCCATGCTGGGTCCCATACATCCCCTCCTTACCTTCATGGTTTCCCCAATGTGTTTGTAGACAGCGCCGACAATGAGGCGAGGCACTGTTGTGGCATGGGCAGCGTGGAAAGCAGGCGGTGAGCGGGGCGCATAACTTGGATCAAGATGCGCGAGACACACAGTCAACTCGATGACAACACAAGCGCACGCGCATACATCTGCACGTGGACACGCACTGAGGCCAAGTCTGTCCGACGATCCGTACACGATGGCTGGACGGGCAACGACATAATCCAGGCTGCAAGGTCCATGATGCACATACGCACACGTGGCAAATGAGGTTGTGTGCTCGTGCAACAATCAAGTGCAGGACATGGGCGTAGCAATTGGACGTAGCAACTCTGAATCAGCAGTGCGCGCACACACACACACACATACACACACACACACCACACACCACACACCACACCACACACACACACACACACACACACACACACACACACCACACCACACCACACACACACACGCACACACACCACACACGCACACACCCATCTTTCTGTGCACAGGGCGTACTTTGGAATGGAGGCGAGTTCCTGCTCCACCTTGAGCTTCATGGTCGCAATGGCAGTCCATGGCTTGAGCTTGGCACTCTCATCAGATGGTTTCTGCAGTCCTCGCACAACGGCAGGAAGAGGGAAGAGAGACATTAATCATGGACCCACGTGGCAAGTAGCGGAGGTGGTGCGGAGACGATGTGCCACGCTACCACACGACTTGCTCGCACGAACGAACCTTATCTGCGGCGTAGACCTGGGCGGTGGAGAGTTCGACGAAGCGCTTGCAGCCGAGCTCGGCTGCTTTTCTTGCGCACTTGCATGACAAGTCGACGACGTTCTCCTGGTACACGAGCTCGTCTTGGCCAAACTTGGTCATGGCTGCGCAGTTGAAGACATAGTCAAAGGGCCCCGCCTCGCGTGCAAAGGCCTTGGCGACAAAGGCGTCCTTGGCCAGGTTTGCCTGCACAAACTCGACCTTGTCAAACGCCGCTTGCTGTCGTGGTGTCAAGTAGGATGTTTGCAGAATGGCCTTGTCTGCCACGCGGATCTCCGAGGCCAAGTCATTCTCCACCAAGTACACCACAAGATGCCGTCCAATGAAGCCAGCTCCTGCATGTTGCAGACGTTGTGTGTGCGCGTGTGTTGTGTCAGTTTGCGTGCGTGTGTGTGTGTTGTGTAAGTGTATGAAGTGCGTGCGTGTGCGTGCGTGCGTGTGCGTGCGTGTGTGCGTAAGTGTGTGTGTGTGTGTGTGTTGTGTAAGCGTGTTTCGTTGACCACCACAACCCACATTTACAAGCACACACACAAGTACACACACACACACACACCCCTCTCCCCTCCCTCTTCCCCACCACCATGCGCACGCACCTCCCAGTACAAGCACGGATGGTTTGCCGTCAGCCATGGTTTTCGGTTGTTGGCTCCTGTCTGTCTTCTCTGCGTTGTTTGGGTTGTTCTGTGTTTGTGCTGACACTCCAAAATGCACATATCTTCCCATTTGAACTCGTCAGCAATGTTCATTTCATCATCAGCACTGAGTGCGCCGATTTCCCACAACACACAATACACACACAAGAAGCACACCACTGCGAGCACACACACACCCACACACACACACACACACACACACACACACACACACACCTTCATTCAAGCATCTCTCCCCCCCCCCAACTCTCTCTCTATCACACACACTCACACACACACACACACACACGCAACGATGGAAGGAGCAGTGCAGGCCCTGGAGCCTGTGCGTGCGTGGTTGAAGACCGCAAGCGAGCACGTGATGGAGTTTGTGCGTGAGAAGCCCGTGGTGAGCGGCGTGGTTGGCGGTGCAGTGGCACTGGGCTTCGGCTACTACATGTCCTTGCGACCAGTGTACTACGACTTCAACAAGATCTGCGGGCAGTTCAACGACAAGAACCTGGACGTGGACCCGTACTTCTTCGACCCAAGCAAGTTCGATTGGGTGCCCATGGTGGAGTCAAACTGGAAGGTGATCCGGCAGGAGCTCGAGGAGTACTTGGACAGCCAGCCGCTCCAGCCATACTTTGGCGGCAACCTCATGTCCAAGAAGCAGTGCTGGCGCGTCCTTGGCCTCAAGTTCTGGGGGCTCAACCACTCGGAGAACCAGAAGCACTTCCCAAAGACCATGGCCATCCTCAACAAGGTCCCTGGCCTCAGCCTCGTGGCCTTCAGCCAGATTGAGGGGGGCACCGCCATCACCCCGCACCACGGGGACACCAACGCCAACATCCGCTGCCACATGGGCCTCGTGGTTCCCGGAACCCTGCCGGAGATTGGCTTCCAAGTCGGCGACCAACAGAAGAGCTGGGAGGAAGGAAAGGTCGGTCATCTGAATGGGAGAGCCGAGGGGGGGGGGGGTTGTTTCGGCGCGGGGGCGCTGTGTGTGTGTGTGTGTGTGTGTGTGTGTGTGTGTGTGTGTGTGTGTGTGTGTGTGTGTGTGTGTGTGTCTGTCTGTCTGTCTGTCTGTCTGTCTGTCTGTCTGTCTATGTCTGTGTGTGTGTGTGTGTGCCTGTGTCTGTGTGTGTCTGTGTGTCTATACGCATGCGTGCGCTGCTGTGTTGCCTTGCTGGCTTTGTGTCTTCTCCATGCCTGGCTTCCGTCCTTCCTTGCTTTCTTGACATCTCTCGCTCGCTTCTTTTGCATCCATCCATCACCATCCCCTTTGATTCACGCTTGCTCGCTTGTTATCGCTGCCCCGTCGCCAGATCCTGATGTTCTGCGATGCGCACCGCCACACGGCGTTCAACAACACCGACAAGACGCGCATCATCCTGCAGTTTGACGTCATCCGCCCGGAGTTTGAGAACCAGCGCACCCTCATCTCCGCCCGCGTCCTCGCCTCCATCTGCACACAGAAGATCATGCTGCACGTGCTGCCGTGCATTCGTGGCCACAAGATACCACTTCGCGCCATCTACTACACCCTCATCCCTTTCCTCTTCGTCCCCATCATCACCCAGATTGGCTCGCTCTGGCTGTTCAACTTCTTCCTCGACAACTCCTCAAAGAAGAAGGACACCAAGGCTTAACTCACGCTGGAATTGTTTTTGACTCGTGTGTGTCTCGTAGCAGAGAGAGAGAAAATGTGTGTATATGTGTGTGTGTGTGTGCGGTGCATCAACTCCCCGTGTGTTTGTTCTCTGCATGCATCTTGTGTTCACCCTGACGACCTGTGGCTGTTTTCCACCCCAGTGGCTTTCCCACCACAACCAGCACCAAACCCATAGTTGTTGTTGTTGTTCCTGCTGCTGTTGTTGCTGCTGCCTGGCTTGCTGTTTGTAATCGAGCGTACACCTTAAACCACCCCACGTTCTGTTGTCCTTGTCGGCATACCGCGGTTCAGAGCCAATGTTACATGTTCATGTCAGTGTTGGTACAACCACGGGTGGGCGAGATGATGTGCCACATCACATTGTCTTGAGCTAATGAAATACAAAAAAAAATACAAACACAAAGCCACGCACACGTCTCACTATCCATCCGCCACACGCACACGGTGGAAAAGAATGAGAGAGAGAGGGTGTGTGTGTGTGTGTGTGTGTGTGTGTGTTGGGGTGGCTGTCGTAGTCACAAACAAACAGCGAAGCAAACAAAACAAGAGCAACAAACAAGAGCAACACAAAATAAACAAACGAACACACGCACGCACACGTGCGCGCCTGCCTACTCGAAGGAATAACACATGGAGTCCTGGTAAGTCGAATCCACACAAGCATGTGCTTGGACGGGTGGTGCGTTGAATTTGGGCTGGGAATTGTTTACAAGATGCCATTGGTTAGATACTGGTAGTTGTCATAGAGCCGCGTGCGTAAACTGTGCAAACTCTTCTCCGTCAGCTGTAATGCGGCGTGAATAATCATGGTGGCAATACAACACCAGTAATGTGAGCGCGTGCGTAGCAAGACACGTGCATGCGTGTGTGAGTGTGAGTGAGTGAGTGTGTGAGAGAGTGTGTGTGTGACAGAGAGTGTGGGTGTGTGAGAGTGTGTGTGTGTTGTGAAGAACGCAGACAGCAGGGTAGAAGTTAAGAAAGGTGCAAGCGAGAAGCACAGACACAACGACCACCTGCGCCTGACCTTATTGACGTGTCGCTCTAGTTCCGCGTCCGGCGCTCCCATCTTGAACCGGCTCTCAAAGTCCTGCACACACACACACACACACACACACATACACGCACACACAGCAGCAGCAGCAGCAAGGTTGGTCAGAGAGGAATGTATGAGTTGCGACCTGTGTGTGTGTGTGGGGGGGGGGTCGTGGTGCAGGGTGAAGCAAAGGCGTGTGCATGAGCCAGCTCGGGCAACTGCCACGTGGCACATAAAGGTTTTCTCTTCCCGACCTTGACTGCGGAGGCCTTTGTGAAGCAGGGGAGGCTGGAGCGCTGCGCCATGATGGAGAGGACCGTGACAAACTCGTCCTTGTGTTTGCGCGCGGCGACAAAACCGCGGAAGAGAAGAAGTTTGAAGTAGCGGAACATGTCGCTGTCAACGCCGCCAAGCACCTGGTCCGTGACACACGCAAGGACCAATGGCGATGATGATGGCGGGGAGGGTTGGTGGTGGTGAGCATTGAGTGCAAGCACTTTGCACGCGGTGGCGAGCAGCGACAGCAGTAAGACACACGTGCACAATATAAGATGAAAATATGCACAATATCAGGTGCAAATGTGCACACACACAACACAATGCGCAACACACAACACAAACACACTCACACACACACACACAATGCAACACGGCCCACTGCGCACCTCCACGAATCCTGGGAGGAGCTTGAATGGCGCTGTCTCGAATCCAAGATTACGACCGGGCGAGTTGGAGAGGAAGAACCCAAAGTCGATGTGCAGGATGTGGCCCTCAGAGTCGATCATGATATTGCCGTTGTGGCGGTCCTTCACCTGCGCCAGATACGTGAAGATGCAATACGCAGCAAGACTCTCCGCAAAATTTTGCTGCACAGGTGGCACGTTGTGTGTGTGTGCATGTGTGTGTGTGTATGTGTGTGAGCTTTGCGTCGTGTGTGCAGCAGCCAAACGCATGGGTGAGGAAACACAAAGACTCAAGTTGCCAGCAAAAGCAGGCACAGCCAGACACTGCCGCTTGCAACAAAACGGACGGGAACATGATGAGCAGTGTGCAGCACCTGTGCAGTGAGGAAGCCCTCGCTGTTGGCGGGACCAAACTGCTGGTGGAAATACCCGAGCAGCGTGTCGCCTGTATGGAAGGAGGGGGGGAGTGAGGCGTGGATACATGGATGCACAGGTGGACGAGATGCAGATGGGTGGTGAGAGGAAGAAGGTCATTTGCATGCAAGACAATTCACAGCACACGGATCAAGCCACAAGCAAACGCACACACACAACATAATACAAACCATACACATCATACACAACACAATGCACACACACGAAAGAAAACACATAAATCATACACCACACAATGCACACACACACACACACACACACACACACACACACACACACACACAACACGTAACACCGCAGCACACGGACCGGCTTGTTTCTTCGTCTGGTGGAGAGAGACGGCCGAGCCGACGACCTCGATCATGCCGCCGTTGGAGGACGTCACCAGGATGCGGATGGGCCGGATCCACAGAGGCACCCGCTCCCGCCGCCACACCTGGCACGGTCATCGGAAAAAGGGGGGGGGGATGGGGGTGAGGAGAGAAGAGGGCAGACGTGGCTAAATAGCAGGGGAGGAAGCACACACACACACACACTAGCACACACACACACACACACACACACACACTCGCACACACACTCGCACACACACACACACACTCGCGCATTAGCACACAAGCACAAGCACACCTTTTGGAAGAGTGCGAGGAGCTGTGTGGCGAGAAGTTCCTGTCGAAGGTCGTCGCCGCTCTTGATGATGACCGGAATCAAACGCCACTTCGGGTGGTGTCCAAACGGTGACAGGCGTCGGATGCGCTGGACCTGTCGACAACAACAACAACAGCAGCAGCAGCATCAGGAGCACAAACGAGAGTGAGGGCATCCGTCAATGTTTGATGACATGTGGCATGATCTTGGCGACCAGCACCAACTGCATATTCGTTCGATTACATCCATCCATCCACCCACAAGCAATGACCACAACGCCCCACTGGCGTGCAAGGCGGCTCACCTTGTCGGCCCAGTTCTCTTTCGCTTTGATGGCAGATGGGTCCTTGTGTCCACGCTGAAACTGTTGTGAAGAAACGAAGACAAAGGAGAAGACACATGTGGTGGTGATGGATTGCAACATGAGTGAGTGACAAGTTGGCAACAGCAATGATGCAAGGAAGGGCAGGCGACAGGAGAAGGAGCGATATTACAAATGGACTGCACACTGGATTCGGCACGACTGCAGTATTGCCAGCCACACACACACACACACACACACACACACACACACACACACACACACACACACACACACACACACACACACACACACACACAGGGACGATGTGCGGTCGAACCTGTGACTCTGGAGTTGATGCTGCGTCATGCAGGCGCTGTCTGATGTTCATGGCCTGCAAAGGCACGCTTCCCTCACCACTGTTGCCACCCTCACCGCTGCTGCTTTCCTCCTCCTGCTGCTGCGACACCGCCATCGAAGCAGGCGTTGAGGCGGGTGTCGGTGTTGACAGCACAGAGCAGCAGGGGCTCGCCTCGAGCAGTGCAGGGAACGTTGTCACCCGACCGCCGTGGGCTCCGTGCTCCGCCGTCTCCACTTGGCTCGACAGTGACTCCTGCTCCTGGTGTTGGTGTTGGTGTTGGTGGTGATGCTGGTCTTCCTGCTGTTGTGTGTGGTGGTCTTGTTCTTGCTCTTGGTGCTGGTCGTGTTGTTGATGGCGTTGCTGTTGCGCCGCCAAGTCATTGACGGGGCTCGACGCAAACACCGTTCTCTTCTGTTCACAACACGACACCAGCACATTCCCGCCTTTCTGCTGCTGGCTGTCACATCCAGCGTCCCGACACCGGCAGTTGTGGCCATGCTGCAACTGCTGCTGCTCGTGCTGTCGCCCATGCTCGCTCATGCTCTCATCAGCGCCGCTGTCGTGGCGGCGGTGGCGATGTTGGTGCTGGTGCTGATGAAGATGGTGGACGTGATAATGGTGGTGATGGTGTCTCACAATCACACCGCTGTCCTTGTCGCTCGCAACACCGTCATCTTCAACGGCGGCAAACGCGCTCCGCTCGCCACCACCACCAACAGCATCCGCAGCACCCGTGCCGTCGGCGGCGGTGTCGCCAACAGCGAGGTCTGTTGCTGATCGCGTGCGCACAAGTGTGTCCTGCGGGCGCACGAAGCTCGCGCCGTCCGATTGCGAGCGCAGGTGGCCCTGGCGGCGGCGGTAGCGCTGCTTGGCAGGCAGTCTGGTGTGGTAGAAGTCGTCACAGTCAACCACCTCCACCTGCAGCATGTACGGTGCACGGTCCTTGGAGTTGAGCACAACGGCCTCCTCCGGTGGGATGCGAACAACATGGTGTGACCGCCACGCCGCTTGGCTGTTGCTGCTGCTCGTGCTCATCACGCTGACCTCGTCGTCACTCCGTCTCCCATCACCGTCGCCGTCAGCGTCAGCGCCACGAGGGCGCGCCGTGCTGTGGCCGTGTGTTGTGCCGTCCTTCTCCCGGCCCGTTGCCGAGCCAAGGTCGTTGCTGCCTCCAATCGACAGCGGCAGATATGCGCGTGCAGGCAGGTCCAGGTTGACGCGTGCCAGCTCGCCGTACAGCTGTGTGCGCCGGGCATCGCGGGACGGCAGGCGGCGAAGGCGTTCGCTGATGGAGAGCAGCTTCTGTACAAATGTGCGCTCGCGAGAGAGGGCGTCGGCGAGCGTCTGGTACGTGCGGCTCGCTTCGTGCGACGATGTCTCAGGCTCTTCCCCTGATGGTTACAGCACACACCAGGCAGGATACGCGGGGTGAGGTTGTGTTACATGTGTGTACGAGTGAGTGAGTGAGTGAGTGAGTGAGTGAGTGAGTGAGTGAGTGAGTGAGTGAGTGAGTGAGTGAGTGTGTGTGTGTGTGTGTTTGGGTGTGGGTGTGTGTGTGGGTGTGTGTGTGTGTGTGTGTGTGTGTGTGTGTGAGTGAGTGGGTGAGTGGGTGGGTGAGTGAGTGAGTGAGTGTGTGTGTGTGTGTGTGAATGAGTGTGTATGTGTGAGTGTGAGTGTGTGTGTGTGTGTGCAAGTAAGTGACATGCTGCAAACCGCAGGAGATGGTTGAGACGGCAGTTGACATACCGAAATGGTTCGTGAGGGGCTCGACCTCCAGGGAGGCAGAGCTGTGTCCGAGAAACAAACATATATGACAGCGCAGCGAGCGGGCGAGCGAGAGTGAGCGAGAGTGAGAGTGAGTATGCATGTGCGCATGTGTGTCCATGTGTGTGTGTGTGTGTCTGTGTCAAGCATGCATGAGACACGGGTGCACGAGGGAGAGCAAACGCGAATGTGGGAGACAGAGCACATGAACGCGCAAGTTATCGAGCGAGTACAATCGGAATCGACTGCAAGGGCTTGGTCCAACCTGTTGATGTCCTGAAGAAGCACGTGGATGGACTTGTGTCGTGTGTGGTCCTCAAGTCCCTCCAGTTCAGCTTGCAGCAGCCACGTCGCCTGCACAGCAACGATAAGGGGGGGGATGGTGATATGTCATGGTGGGCGTGATGTGGCATTATGAGCGCGGCAGCAGGCATTGGTGCCGTTCAGGTGTTGGGGTGCGAGGTTGGGCGAGAGCAAACGAGGAAGCGAGCGAGCAGCAGCAGCGCCACGCAAACCAACAAACAGCAGAACCCGAACAGATGAGAGCATGGAGAACAAACGGAAACAGTGGCGCACCAGCAGGGCAAAGTGGAGGTCTCTGGCGCTGGTGTCCAGCACAAACTGGCGAAGCGACGCATACCGCTGCTCGTCAAGCAAGCACATGCAACTGCAAGGGCCGTGGAAGGTGCGCATGCGTGTATGAGTATGTGTGTGAGTGTGAGTATGAGTATGTGTGTGAGTATGTGTGTGAGTATGAGTATGTGTGTGAGTATGTGTGTGGGTGTGAGTATGAGTATGTGTGTATGAGTATGTGTGTATGAGTGTGGGGATGAGTATGTGTGTGCATATGTGCGTGTCTGCGTATGAAATGTGTGCGTATGAAATGTGAGTGTTATGTGTGTTGTCAAGGCACTGTGAATGATGCAGCCAGCAGGTTGGTCTGCCAGCGCTTGGCATGGGCGAGCGGACATCAAGAGCGCGTACATGATCTGCGGGAGATAGAACTCGACTTGATCGGGAGGAAACCGGCACATCTGCACACCATCATCAAGGGGTTGGACGGGCGTCAGCGGCGTCAATTAACAACAAGAACAACAAGAACAACAAGAACAACATCAACAACGACGACAACAACAGCAACAGCAATGACAACGATGATGGCATCACCCACCACACGGCACCACCACATGGTATGACGAAACAACACGGCAAGACGCACACGCACAGGTGCACAAGCACGCACCCGCTGGCAGATCATGTCAATGATGGCGGCGGATTTGGAGGTGTGCAGGTAGTGCATGGACATGTGCATGGTGAACATCTCGCTGTCGACCATCCTGCGCATGGAGTCGAGGCCGTCCCGTGCAGCTGCAGATCAAGATGGAAGTGGGTGGCACACCGCAATCGGCACACCGCAATGGGAACGGCAGGGTGAGCATGAAAAGCTGTGTGCGAGAGCTGGTTGCAGTCTCCCACGCTGGGTGACGAGGCGAAGGCATTTGGGACAGGGAGGGAGGGACGAAGGGACGGGGTGGTCAAAAAGGAAGAGAATTCGCCAAGGGTCATCCCAGCCGGTGCGCACCAACACACCCGCACACCCGCACGCCCGCACATCCGCACACCAGAACAGGGCATGGACCTTGCTGGGAGGAGGAGGCGGCGGTGGTGGGGGTGGGGGATTGAGATGACGCTGGCCGTTGAACATCATGGTCCATGGAGGCGAGCAGCACATCCTCCATCTTGACCGTGTGTTTGCTGCGGGTGTGGTAGCTCGGCTTTCCCACGAGCAGTTGGAGAAGAGACAGCCGCGTGGATGCAAGACAGTCCAAAACAGACTCTGCGTGGGCCATAGTCAGCGGTGTGGTTGGATCACAGAAGTGGCAGTGCAGGGCGCAAAGGGCGCACAGAGAGCAGCGGGTGAGACAGTGTGTGATGACGATTGTGTGTGGGAGAGAGAAGCACAAGCAAAGGGGAGGGAGAAGAGCACGAGCGGCGTTCTCGCAACCGGCATCGTCATAAAAGGGGAGGGGAAAAATAAGTGAGGTGGTACCGCTGTCTGACTCATGCATCAACTTTGGTGGCGTTTGCTCTTGCTTCTTGGCCACTCGGCGCGCACACACTCTTGCTTGATCCCTCGTACGACCTTATTGTGATGTGTAAGGCAGCTGGACGAAGAACCCTTCTTGTGCTGGTGGGGGTTGGGAATGGTAGGCGTGCCGTTGCTGTGGAGAATAAACAAGAGCACAGCGCTCTGTGTGTTTTTTTGTGTCTGTGGGTGCGTGCGTGTGTGTGTGTGTTGGATGATGTGATGGTGCTTTCTGGGTCGTGCTTGTCAGGGTCTCTCAGCCACGCCAGCTGCCTGCACGAAAAGCACGCACACGACGGTGATGATGATGATGGTGCGTGCTGCTGTTGTGTTTGCCCCTTCTCTTTGCTTTGCTGTTTGTTGCTGTTTGTTTGCTGTTGGTTTTTTTGGGGAATTTTCTCAAGGCAAAATTTGCCTTTGAGCTGACGCCCAAAGTCAATTTTGCTGTTGCCTCATCCTTCCACCGCGCCACACAAGGACAAACACCACGCACAACACCACGCACAACAGCAACAACAGCAACAACAACTATCAGGATGAGCACCATGGATGCCAAGCGAGCTGCGGGTGTGCTGTTCTGTTACTTGTTGGCAAGTGATGTGTGTGTGTGTGTTTGCTTGACGAAACACGTCGTGCATAAAGTGTGCGCACTGCTTTTGAGTCATGCAATGCACTGCACTCACAACAACATGCTTGCACGTGTGTGTGTGCATGTGTGTGTGCATGTGTGTGTGCATGTGTGTGTGCATGTGTGTGTGCATGTGTGTGTGCACGTGTGTGTGCATGTGTGTGTGCATGTGTGTGCATGTGTGTGTGTGGGGGGGGTGAATGAAGATGCATCGTCCAACGGGGATGCCAAGAAGGCCAAGCGGCGCCTCAAGATTGACTTTCACACCCACATCCTCCCAGCAGACATCCCCAAGTTCAAGGAGGTGCGTGTGTGTGTCTGTGCGTGTGTCTGGGTGTGTGTGTGTGTGTGTGTGTGTGTGTGTGTGTGTGTGTGTGTGTGTGTGTGTGTGTGCGTGTGTCTGGGTGTGTTTGCGTATGCGCATGTGTGTATCCATCCATGTGTGGTGACGGTTGTTTGGCGAGCTCTA